TTCCGGAACATTGCTACTTGGGTTTGGGTTTGGATTTGGATTCGAGTTTTTTACCTTGAGATCATCCAATTTCTCCACAAGGCCCTGTACGCGTCGCACCTGGAATATTTTACACAATACGATAATTTGACTATTTTGTGAAATGTCTAAAATACCCTTTTTTTTTCTCAATAGTAGCATTAGAATATTCTACAACACTAACCTCCAACTTTCTTTGTATTCTCCCTTCTCCTTGAGCATCAATTCCATCAAGTTTCAGCAGCTGCCTCATCAGCATCTCGGTTAAGAAAAGAAAATCTTTATCTGAAACCTGAGTCCCTGAACACACTACTGCCTCTAGGCTTCCCACCTACAAATTACAATACAATTTATTAATTTTAAATCCATCACTTTCTGCCTTTAATTTCAAAGTTCTGTTTGATAAATTTGGTCAGTGTTCCAAACTACTATATTTTTGGGACGAAAACTGCAAAAATCAGCTAAAGACATAAATGCCCTTCACATCCTCATCATTACCTGTTCTGCAAACTCATCATTTTCCTTTCTAACTAAACTAACAGCCTCAACCCCTTTTGATATCTCCTTCACTTCTTCTTCAACCTGTTCAAGATTCTCTTCTTCTTTTTCTTCATGTTCTTCTTCATCTTTATCTTTATTTTTGGTAGGTGAATTTTCAGTTAATATCACCTTTGCATTGTCCTTCACTCCTACCATATCCAACCTTTCATTCTCATCTTTTTCTTTTCCTCTAAATAACAGGTTTTGAGCTTCAGGCTCTAAACCAGTTGCTTTTGCAATCTCCCTTTTCAAATCACCTTCATTAACATAAACATATTTCACAAGTATAAGAAAATACTTGAATGAACCATTATGTCAGATTCTCTCATTGATTCATTAAGTTAAAACGAAACTGATAAATACCAAACACTTCCATTTACAGATTACACATTTGAAAACCATAAATAAATTTCTAAAAGAAAAGCACAGCCAAACAATATCTTCCTTTCCTACTTAAAGAGGAATCATGAAGATATACTCATATACAGGTTAATTTTCCCTCCAAAAAGGCTAAAAGAAGAATGAATACAGACATACAGCCAATATCTACACTCTACATATCAATTCTTTTAGAATTAAGAGCATGAAGGAGGCAATATACTTTAAACCACATAATAATTACTATGAATAACATAGTTCTGATCTTCTTAGAATTACTCTTTAGAGCATCAAAATACAAAAACCGAATTCCCTCGCATCAATAAATGCAAAAGTTTGACTAGTCATGTAATTTAATGAACGTGTTTGACTAACAATCGAATATCTAATATATTACTGAATAATGATGAAAATAGAGGAAGCTTGTTGATACAAGTCAAACTTATGTGTGTTTTCTAACGATTAGCAAACTTTGGCAAAAGGGAAACATTGCCTTAAGGACAACCCAAAACAGAAAATGTTGAGTGTATTTTAGAGCAGATGGAATGTCTTTTAGGGTTTTGGAAAGTGATAACATAAGAGTCAAAAATGTCATGTTTGCTAAATGGTAAACCTTCCTTATAGGAATGAAGATCATTCTTTTTCTATAACTCTCATATGTTTGTTGTTTTTGAGGGACATTGATCACTAAAATCGTACAAAATCGAAGGAAAAAAGAAAGCTGAGGAGAAAAAAAATCCCATGTCAAATCCTAATATATTGAATGTTGATTTGGGGAAAATGGAGAAAATAAGCTATAAAAAATGATGATTTAAGCATCGACGTTGACCTAATTTGGCCAAAAGTAAGTTCATACTTTGCTTTTGAGTGTCAAACAAGTTACAGATCCACGTTGAACCTAGATGAGTCAAACAAAAGACTTGATAAATATATTAAACTACTATGAATCTACTAAAACAATAAAAATAAATTAGGTTTTACAAACTGAAAATGTTTTAGGATTTTAAAACTAAAAAGCATTACGTTAAACCTCTAATATCAAAAGGGGATTACGTTTAGAGGAAGGAGGGCAATATAACACGGTAAGCATCCAGACGCAGTTCTATTTTGAAGACTGAAGTTGTATACGTAGATTAACATCACCATAAACACATACAGACATGTTACAAGTAATATAAACAACTGAAATTTGAAAGAAAGTAAGGAATTATACCGAAAGTGGATTGGGGAAGGACGAAGACATCGAAATTGTTGGAACCATAAGACACTTGAACCTTGATGTTACTGGCACCAGTATGTTCAACTTCGTTGCCGGTGGTGGTGGTGGTAGTGGTTGGGGCGGCGGCGGCTGCTCCTCCGCTTTCTTCCATCATCCGCAAAGCAGGTTAGTGGCGGTAGTCGTCGAGGTGAAAAATAAATCGAAAACTTTATGCGACTACTTCTGACTTATGGTGGGGGCAAGCTGCATCAAATACCAACTAAAAAGCGAAAATAAAATGGATAATCGCGTAACGGAGTCGGTTTAAAAAAAATACCGTATGCGTGTAGGTTAATTGGAATTCAAATTTGTGTGTAAAATGTAAATGTAAAATGTAAAAAACATAATATTACAATGTGTTCGTGTTTAAAAAATTCAATTCGGTCTTTATATGATATTAAAATGTTTTTTTTTCCGTTGTAAGATTAGTTATGAATTAAATAAACTAAAGGTTTTTTTTATGTTGATCGTTTTTATCATGTTTTATTTTAGTGTTTTCATGTTAATAAGCAATACATGATATCATATTTTGTTTAACACGAGGAAGGGTTTTAACCCATAAATATTGAGTTTCGGAATTAACAACTTAATAAGTGATTTAATAGACTATTTTGGGGTATTTTGAACTTAAAATATTAAGTTGACCCATAGAAGGGGATTATAATCTTTTAACACCTTGTAATGATATTAGGTGTTTTATTTGGGAATTTTTGGAGGTAGAAGTGGCATAACTCATGATTAGAAGATTTTTGGTGTTGCAAGCTCAGGACTTAAGGTGAGTACAATTACTTTGGAACACTATCCCCACTATATGATTATGTTATATGTGTTTCCCATTATTTAAAGTAAATGCACGTATATAAATATGATTTCGACACTATGTATCCCTTATGTGTTTTCCTTTACATGATACTATATTTTATAATTCGGGACGTCCTAATTAAATAAAAGGCATGTTTTGAAAATGTTTTGCATTGAGGGGCTTTATCTTATTCTTTGTTAGTAAGAATTCATATATTCTTGACAATTGTGTTTTAGAACCTCCGGGAATGCACATCCCTTATTATTGGTTCTATGTCTTGAAACTATTTAACATATACTTGATTGGTAGTTGCTTGTATGTGGATTATTTGCGCACTCATGAAATTATAATTTTCAGAAATGATTTTGGTTGATATAAAGCTAAAATGCTTATTTTGAGAAAAGAGATTTTTGGCATCCTACTTGTTGCATGCATGCATATCATGCAAGAATGAGTGTGATTTTGTGGTCTCGAGTACCTAATGGACATTTGTTTTTGTTTGTCATTTGTTTGTGAGTAAATTTCTAGATAATCCTCACGTGCACGAGTAGAAGCTTGCTACCCCTTGTGTGACCTAGGTTTGGATGGCCCTAGTGCCTTGTTTGTGGGTGTGAGGGTGACTCAACAATTTCGTCTGTCGTACATTCTTCAGACCCGACCATCATTATTTTGTTGTCGGATGTGAGTATAAAAATTGACTGTCTGTCATGAGTTTTTCGCATCTGACGTTTGTTATGAGTTAGACTTTAAGATTGACAAAATGTTGAGAGTAGTTGCATGTATTGCATCTTGCTTATTGTCATTCATCTTAGATCAAAGTATAATTTTGACCGAACCACATGGACATTTACTCAAAAAAATAAATTGTAAAAACTCAAAAGAATTAAAGTTTTGTTGGCAATATACTTTGTATATTCCAAATTTGGATTCATAGTTTTTTATTCGAATTCGTATACTAAATTTAGATAACTTTACATTATATATTTTTTTATACGAATTCCAATACTAAATTTAGAAAACTTGATGTTTTGTAATTATGTAAAAATCTTAGACGTGTATATTTATATTTTTTATTTTTATTTTTATTAATAATTATTTATTTAGTTTATTTAATTTTGGGATCCCTTTAATTTTTGTGTTTAGAATATGAAATTAGGGCTCAGTTCTTGTGTTCACAATTCGAAATTAAAACTCTGGCTCTCGTTCTCTTCGTCTCTCTCGCTCCATCTGGTTCACGGCTTCACTATCCTGGTGTTTATTAATCACCTGTTCATCCCACTCCATACAATCGTCTGTTGCTATTCATCGTAAATTCGGTTGTTCAGAAGGTATGTCTTTTTGCAACTCTTAATATGTACACCGACACAATTTTGAGGAGATATCTTATATTTCTGTGACATTACATTGACAAAACCATCAAACAGCGCCTCAATTTCATGTACAACTCTTCATATCTGAAAGCTTCTCGAGGAGTTCCTAGGGTGAAGTAACAGTTTGTATAATTTGAAATTTTTTGAAAGAGTTTCCCCTTTCTTCACGTTTTTCTAATTGTTAGATATTGGCAAATGCTTTTTTGTTTTCTTCAATTTAGTTTGAAATTATCAAATTCAGAATATTTGAATTTGATTAGGTTTCATTGAACTAAAAGCGTGGTTGTTTTATAATTATTAGTTCATTTAGTTGCCTCGATTGGGAACCAAAAGTGAAAGTTCTTGCTTTTTTTTATTGAGTTCTTGTTTTTTTGTAAACTGTAATTTTGTCCTTCCTTGTAAATTGTAGTCATGTGGTTATTAATGATCCAGTTTTTGGTAACCTAGATACTTCAAAAAAAATTCCAGTTGTTAAAGTGATTGACCAAAAAGTTTCTATACAAACTAAAAGCAAATTGTCACTAATCTCTAAATTTCCTTTCACATATATGAAATAAAGTAGCACTTGCAGCTTATACCCTCATATACTTACAACAAGGTTGAATCTTTTCACAGGTTATTTTCCTGAGGAATCATGGAAGATGATCAGGAAAGGGAGAGATTTGGGATGGAAAACGACTATGAAGATGGCCAATGGATTGGTAGTGAATTCTATGGAAAACGCAAAGAAAAACGTCACCAAACCAAAGATGATGTCCTCTATGGTATCTTTGCTTCTGGTGACTCAGATAGTGATTCTGAAGGTAACTCCAAGAAAAAAAAGAAAGAAAGGTTTATCCAAAAAACAACAAGATCTCACTAAACCACTCAATTTTGTATCAAGTGGGATTGTAATGCCAAATGAAGAGATCGATAGCAACACAAAACAGGAGAACCAAAAAGATGATCCAGATGATGACAGCATGCCAGGTTTAGGTCAAGGCCTCGGTTTCAATTCAAACAACATCAATGATGACAAAAAAGAGGTCAACGAAAACACCATTGACTTTCTTCCAACAGCATTTGGTAAAATGATCAAAGAAGGTGCACTTCAGAGGCGCGAAAAGGAAATTGAAAAGTCCAGATTAAACAAAAAGTCAACTAAACCAGGTTTGGGAAAACGAGAAGCAAAAGATGAGGGCAATGTTGGTGTGTTTGAGAAGCACACAAAGGGTATTGGTATGAAATTGCTTGAAAAAAATGGGGTATAAAGGAGGTGGTTTAGGGAAGAATGCACAGGGGATTGTTGCTCCAATTGAAGCAAAGTTGCGCCCCAAGAACATGGGAATGGGGTTTAATGATTATAAAGAGGCAGCTAATGCTCCAACATTGCAGGATTCAGTTGATGAGATTAAGGTTTTACCTCAGACTCCTGGGATTCAACAAAAAGAGAAGCCATGGATGAAACAAAGCAGCTCAAAAAAGAAGAAAAAACAATACGTAACTGCAGAGGAGCTATTGGTGAAGAAACAAGAACAAGGAATCGATGTAGTCCAGAAAGTGTTCGACATGCGGGGCCCACAAGTTCGCGTGTTGACAAATTTAGAAAATTTAAATGCTGAAGAAAAACTAAGAGAGAATGATAAGCCAATGCCAGAGCTCCAACATAATCTCAATTTAATCGTTGACTTAGTTGAACTTGACATACAAAAAATCGACCAACAATTGAGAAACGAAAGGGAGACAGTTGTCACTTTACAAAAAGAAAAAGAAAAGCTAAAAGACGATGCTACCCTTCAAAAGAAACAACTCGATAGCATGGAAGAGATAGTTACTATAATGGACAATTTAACCAACGAAAGCTTGTTAGGAACATTAACTTTAGACTCCCTTGCCACGTCATTTACTGACTTACACAAACGATTCCCAAACGAATACAAAAATTTGCAGCTTACCTAGTATCGCTTCCTCTTTAGCATTACCTTTATTCATTAGAGTTTTCCAAGGATGGGACCCACTTCATAACCCATCACACGGGTTAAACGCAATGTCAGTATGGAAAAATTTATTAGAAGGAGACGAGATTTTCGATTCACCTTACACTCAGCTTTTCATGGAGGTTGTGTTTCCAGCTGTCAGAATCTCAGGGACGAACACGTGGCAAGCGCGGGACCCGGAACCGTTGTTAAGATTCCTAGATTCTTGGGAACAGTTACTCCCTCACTCTGCTCTTCAAACCATACTTGACAACATTGTCATGCCTAAGTTAACATCTGCTGTTGATTCGTGGGATCCACGTCGCGAAACCATTCCGATACACTCGTGGGTCCACCCATGGCTTCCGTTGTTAGGTACAAAGCTTGAGAGTTTATATCATACGATACGGAATCGGTTAGAAAGTGTTTTGCACGCGTGGCATCCGAGTGACATGTCAGCGTACTATATTTTGTCACCATGGAAGACTGTTTTTGACCCAACAAGCTGGGAACAGATAATGGTTAGATATATTATTCCTAAGTTATTGGGTGTGATGCATGAGTTTCAAGTCAACCCTGCGGATCAGAAGCTTGACCAGTTTTATTGGGTGAGGAATTGGGCTTCTGTGATTCCGATTCATCACATGCTTCATATAATGGATGTGTTTTTTAACAAATGGCAAGAGGTTTTGTATCAGTGGTTATGTTCAAAGCCGAATTTTCAAGAAGTGACAAATTGGTATTTGGGGTGGAAGGATTTGATTCCAGCTGAGCTTTTATCAAATGAGCATGTGAGGTATCGGTTGAATATGGGTTTGGATATGATGAACCAGGCGGCAGAAGGGCTGGAGGTGGTGCAGCCAGGGCTGAGGGAGAATATAAGTTACTTGAAGGCGCGTGAACAGAGGCAGTTTGAGGCTCAGAGGGCGGCGGCTGCACAGGCGGCAAAGGGACGGGTGGATGAGATGGGTGGTGGTGGTGATATGAGTTTGAAGGAGGTTATTGAGGTTCATGCACAGCATAATAATTTGTTGTTTAAGCCGAAAGTGGGGAGAATGCAAGATGGACATCAGGTTTATGGATTTGGGAATGTGAATGTGATTATTGATTCTTTGAATCAGAAGGTGTTTGCTCAGACTGATGATAGGTGGTCTCTTGTGACACTTGAGCAATTGGTGACACAGGAGAAGAATTCTGTTGTGAGAAGGCGTTGAGTTGTGAAATTTATAGATTTTTTTTTTTCAATCATAATGTTAAAGATATGTGTTTTTGTTAAATAGACTCTTCTTTGATTTCATATCAATTATTAACAAGTTTATCCAAAAAAAAATGACAAAAAATAGATGAACCTAGTGTGCAGATAGGTTTTAACTTTATATATGTATTTCCTCTAAACCATTTTCCAAATGTAAAATGTCTTTAACAAACCTTATATCCTATTTTTTTCATGAACAAAAAACACAACTGTAAAAATGAAGTTTATGTTATGGAAAACAAAAATTACAAAGCATATAATTATGAATTGTGAAATGCATTTTAAACATATAAAATATTTTTTTTCCTTTTAAAAAAATTAATTGAATGTAATTGATGTCATATTATTCATATGTTTAACTATTTTAGCATACTTAATTATTAACTATCAGACGTTTTTTAGTTTTGCTTTGAAAAGTTGAAGTATTAATTAAGAAATATATTCAAATTTTAATAAAACTATGTAACTTTTTTAAAATTTAAATATAAAAGGTTTATATCAAACCAATATAAAATTTACCGTATGTAAAGCTAAAAATATATTTCAATTTTGGTTTCATAATATAAGTTCAATAAAACTTATATTAGTTTTGATATAAACTTTTGACATTTAATTTTTAAAAAAATTATTTAGTTTTATCAAAATTTGAATATATATTTATATTTTATATGTTTATAATCTTAAGGGTTTTTTTTTTGCAAAATATTTGTAAACTTAAGGGTTTTTTTTCGCAAAAAATAATTCATGGTAACCTGGAAACCTGCTATTGCAGGTAAAAAGGGCAAAACCGGCAAAAAAATGACAAGTTTGCGGTATAAACGAACAAAAAATCTGTCGAAGGGTAAAACCGACATTTTCTGCCAAACTTAAGGCTTTTTATAACATTATCCCCTGTTATTATTATTCATTATTTTATTTTATTTATTTGTTTATTTATTTATTTATTTTTTATCATTGATCAAGAAGTAAAGGCTTTTACTTTTCGTTTTTAATTTTTTTAAGGTTATTATTTTAATCTTTTTCTATATATCCATTTATAAACATACCCCATAATTTTTTTGTTCATTTATTTATTTATTTGCAATAAAGCTAGGAAATATTCAAACATATATTCATACAAGCCGAAAGTTAGTAAAAACTGGTTACTTGGTCTTCACGTTGAAGTAAGGCCCAAGCCGAATCCTTATAGACTTAAAACTTGGACCTCACGTTGATATATTTACATATCTGTATTTGTATCTTTAAATATCTTTATTTACATATTTTTACCATTTCTTGTTTTAGCTTCGGATGGTATCGCCTTCTTCCCAGATCGATATTTTCCTTTTCTTGATTAGATTCTCTTATATATAAGGATCAGGGTAGTAGCTTTTCAATATCAATTTTCCCAGAAACGAGGCTCCAAAAGTTGATTTCAATTCTCCACTCTACCAAAGGGGGATTTTATCACTCCGGTCGCCTGAAGTTGAAACTCGACAATTTTAATGATGATTAGTGTCACACAGTCCTCCGGGTTCGGTGGTGGAGAGTTTTACTCCGGTGAGCGCAGGGCAAAACGGCACCGAAGCAAAGATGATGTGGTCATCAATGATATGTTTGCTTCTGATGACTCCGACACCGATTCAGAAGGTGGCCCCATCAAGAAAAAAGGCGCAGTAATGATCTGTTCAAAAAGCGACAAGCAAAAGATGAAGAAAATATCGGTGCATTTGAAAAACATACAAAGGGAATTGGTATGAAGTTGCTTGAGAAAATGGGATATAAAGGAGGTGGTTTAGGGAAGAACGCACAGGGGATCGTTGCTCCAATTCAAGCCAAGTTGCGCCCCAAGAACATGGGAATGGGGTTTAATCATTATAAAGAGGCGGCTAATGTTCCGACATTGCAAGAATCAGTTGATGAGATTAAGGTTCCTGGTATTCAACAAAAAGAGAAGCCATGGCTGAAAAAAGAGTATGCAACTGCAGAGGAGTTCTTCGTGAAGAAACAAGAACAGGGTCTTGATGTAGTTCAGAAGGTGTTCGATATGAGGGGCCCACAATTTCGTTTGTTGACTAATTTGGAAAATTTAAACTCTGACGAAAAATTAAGAGAGAATGATAATAAGCCAATGCCGGAGCTCCAACATAATATCAATCTAATCTTTGACATGGCAAAACATGATAAAAAGAAAATCCTCCAGGACTTAAGAACGAAAGGGAGACATTTGTCATTTTACATAACGAAAAAGAGAAGCTAAAAGACAATGCTGCCCTTGAGAAGAAACAACTCGACACCATTGAAGAGATGGTTAGTGTAATGGAACGGTTAAGCTTGTTAGGAACATTGACTTTAGAATCTCTTGCCACGTCATTCGTTGACTTGCATACAAGGTTTCCCAATGAGTACAAGATTTTCAGTTTGGCTACAATCGCTTCCTCTTTTGCATTGCCTTTGTTCATTAGGGAATTTCAGGGATGGGACCCACTCCAAAATCCAACACATGGGTTAAATGTTATGTCACTATGGAAGGATCTTCTTGAAGAAGATGAGATATTTGATTCGCTTTTCATGGAGGTTGTGTTCCCTGCTGTTGTTAGATTATCTGGCACCAACACCTGGCAAGCGCGGGACCCAGAACCATTATTAAGGTTCCTAGATTCTTGGGAACAGTTACTGCCTCACTCTGTTCTTCAAACCATACTTGACAACATTGTCATGCCTAAATTAGCATCTACTGTTGATTCGTGGGACCCACGTCGCGAAACCATTCCTATACACTTGTGGGTCCACCCATGGCTTCCGTTATTAGGCCCGAAGCTCGAGACTTTATATCATACGATACTTAATCGTTTAGAAAGTGTTCTGCACGCGTGGCATCCGAGTGACATGTCAGCATACTATATTTTATCACCATGGAAGACGGTTTTTGATCCAATACGATGGGAACAGATAATGGTTCGATACATCCTTCCTAAATTATTGGTTGTGATGCATGAATTCGAAGTCAACCCAGTTGATCAGAAGCTTGACCAGTTTTATTGGGTGAGGACTTGGGCTTCTGTGATTCCGATTCATCACATGCTTCATATAATGGATGTGTTTTTTAACAAATGGCAAGAGGTATTGTACCAATGGTTATGTTCAAAGCCGGATTTTCAAGAAGTGAGAAAGTGGTATTTGAGTTGGAAGGATTTGATTCCATCTGAGCTTTTATCCAATGAGCATGTAAGATATCGGCTTAATATGGGTCTGAATATGATGAACCAAGCGGCTGAAGGGCTGGAGGTGATTCAGCCAGGTTTGAGGGGGTTTGAGGCTCAGAAGGCGGCTGCACAGGTGGAAAAGGGGTGTGCGACAGAGGAGATGGGTGGTGGTGGTGGTGGTGTTGATATGAGTTTGAAGGAGGTTATTGAGGTTCATGCACAACAAAATAATTTGATGTTTAAACCTAAAGTCGGGAGAATGAAAGATGGACATCAGGTTTATGGATTTGGGAAAGTTAGTATGATTATAGACTCTTTGAATCAGAAGGTGTATGCTCAGATTGAAGATAAGTGGTCTCTTGTAACACTTGAGCAATTGGTGAAGCTGGAGAAGAGTTCTGTTTTGAGAAGACATGCATTGAGTTTTAAAGATTTTGGATTTTGGAGTTGAGTCATAATGTATGTGCAACAATTTGTTTTTTAGTCATGTTAACATGTGACTTGATATTTTGGTAACTCGACCCAAAAGGAAGCGAAGAAAACCCAAATGGCGATTGGGAAGGGATAAGTGTTTGGAGATTTACTTGTATATGGGTCCGGCCCTATATAATTGCTAGGGTTAATGGTTATAAGTATTTGTAGCTAAGGATTCAATCACAATAGAAAAGTTATATGGTTTATGCCCATGGATGTTAATTCCTTGTATTGCTTAAAGTTCCTGGTTATCAAGTGTTGAAGGGGCTGGTTATATTTTAAAAATCCAGTAGTCAAAGAGGAAACTAAATTGGTATATTTCTTAGCCATAGATTTTTATATGTAAAACTAAATTACATGTATTACACTATTTATTACACCAAAAAGTAACAAGTTTCATTCAACCACTTTTGATAAAAAAAACTTGGTAGAGATTAAACATGTTTTCCAGAGGTAAACACTCGCTAGGGTTTCCAACAAGCTCCGAAACAATTTGGGCTAAAGCTGGAATATGGTCTGTAGATGGCCAATTAATTAGTAAAGTCCTGCCTTGAATCAAATCAGATCCATTAACCAAAGGTGCTCCTACCCTAAGAACCCCATGAACAACACTACAATCGGAAATATGGTCAATTGTTATATAAAAATAATATTATGAAATGTAACCAAATTACCTTGATGCATTACCACTTTGATTAAGCTTTACCATAAGCATCACCCTTGATAGTGTGCACATTTAGAGTCGATAAAATAACCAATAATAAAATCTGAATGAGACTATATGACCATTTTACCCTTACATAATAACACTCCAAAAAACACATTTAGTTTTTTTTTTTTAATTATCAATTATAACATCAGAGCTATAGAAAAAACAAGAAAGGCTGTCACAAACAACTAGGGCTGTCAAAAATGTATTACGGAATGTGTTACCAACCGAATCAATAAAGTTGGTAACCAATATGTTTGGTAGCCAACTTCTTTGGTTGGTAGTACCGTACCAACTGAGCAATCTTGGTACGGTAATTGTACAAAAACTTGAATATCACGGTAATACCGTACCAACCAATTCATATATTATTATATAATATATATATATATATATATATATATATAGATATATATATATAATATATATATAATATATATTTAGGTTCTATGGAAAACAAAAACCCTAAAAATCAAAAAAATGCATAAAAAATATATTTAGACATCACAAAAAAAATTTTGAATTTTTTTTATAAAAAATTGCAGTTTTTTTTTAAAAATTCGCTGAAAAAAAAATAAAAAATCAAGTTTTTTTTTTTTTTTTTAATAAAAAAAAAAAATTTTAAAAATTTTTTTCAGGGAATTTCTTTAGAAACCTGCGATTTTTTCATATTCATAAAAAAAGTAAAAAAAAAAAGTTTTGTGATCTTTAGGTATTTTTTTTATGCATTTTTAGGGTTTTTTTTGTATTTTTTTGATTTTTAGGGTTTTTTTTTTTCCATAACCCTTCCCTATATTATATATGATATATATATATATATATATATATCTATATATATAATTATATATATATATATCTACATACTAGCCGTTTACCCACGCCAAGCGACGAGTTCGAATAGTTTCTTTCGACATTTCGTTTCTTTTCGGCGAAAAATGATTAATTTCAATTCAACAATTAGTTTGTTTTAGGAAACATGTCATCCTAAAACGAAGACACAATGTATTGGCAAGTATGACGAAACATTAGTTTCGATTCAATGATTCGTTTTCTTTTCGACGAACATTGTATTTTTTTAATGTATTCGCCACCTTTGTGTATTTTGGATATGTGTTTTCATATATTGAATCCATTACGTCGAAAATAGTTCATTCTAATTCATGATAACATATTTCAAAATTCTAATGGGGGACCTGTGCGATGCTAATGCAATTCCTTTCCGTAGGCATCAAATAGTTTTTTTTTCAGTGAATAGTCTCATTTCATCGATTAGTTATTTTTTGCAAAAATGTTGTTTTCCAAATAACATGTAGTAAATCGACGGGATATAAGTGTTAGTTGGTATTTTATCGACATATTTGTAATGTGAGAAAATAGGTTGTCTTTTAATTCATTTGTAAAATCAAATATAGACAACTTGAAGACATCTTAGGGATTAATAACCTTCAGTTTATGAACATCATATATTGATAACTTGAATACATCTTTGGCTAAAATCAGATGTGGATGTGGTCGTTACTGCCACTATTTTGGAAAACAATTTCGTTTCTGTGATTAGGATTTGCAGTTTGGGGGGGGGGGGGGGGGGGGGGGGGGGGGGGGGGTGCCTGGGAATTACATGTAAATTGTTTGAACTTTTAGGACCAATTTGTGGCACACCTAATATTTTTATCTCTTTTGGGGGCGGAAAATAGTTTCCTTTTTTGATTCGATGATTAGCTTTTAGTGATTAGGTTTCCTAAAACCTTTGTAGAAAATTAAAATACATTTATTGGGCAGCAGTGAGTGATTACTAATTTACTTGTTGCAGCTTTTGAATTGTTCAAATGATTAAGTTTAATTCAACTTATTAAAAAATAAATTAATTCTAACTGCAACTACTAAGATATGTAAAGAGAACATGTCATTTGGACAATAAAATTAACAATATCAACTAACAAATTATAATGAATGAATTTTAGAAAAAGAATTATACTAATTTTATACTTTTATACATTTAGTTTGGTTACTCTATTAGTCGTTCAAATTATTTTCATAATGTTTTGTCCTTAACGTTTAATTTTATTTAAATATTAAAAAATTAACTAAATTTCCAAACACCAACACCATTTAAAAGATTTTTTTTTCACATTGTAGTACCATTTCTTTTACCTATCCATATTCCACCCAAACACTAAAGTTCTCAAAGATTGAGATAATACATACGAATAATTTTTTAAATATACATTACTTTTCAAACTTTTTAAATATACATTTATTTTTCAAATATACATATGCAGACTTCATCCTGGAACTCCTAGCACAACTACCAGAAGTAATGATAAGTTTCAAAACACCAAAGTTCAACTCAAACTCAAACCTCAATCTTGGCTAAAATAAACGAAATACAAATACAAAATGAATTTCAAAACACCAACCTTCACCTTAAAAACTCGAACTTCCATTTTTGCTAAAAGAAATGAAATACAAATACAGAGGCTTGAACACAATAGTATTTTCCTCAAAGCAAAACTCAATATGAATCTTTGGTGGTACCAGAAAAAGGATTAAAAAATTTCTTTATTTGGATCCGATTTGGATCTTTATTTTTGAAAAAAAAAACATTTTGAAATTTAAATACCAACCATCTTTCTTCTTTAGCTTTGTCATTGAAGAATCAGAACCTTCATGTGCTCTTCATGTACCTGAGTGAGCAGAATTCTAGATCTGGTGATGGAGATGAAGAAGAATAATGAAGTTCATGGTTATGGGAATATGCCGAGACAACTCTTCTTTTATTCCATTATAGTCGATAACACTTAAAGAGTGTATGTACAATAACTACTTACTCCCACTTAATTCGACTCAGTAGTAGGTTGGAACCATATTAGGTGTATGTATAAGATCCAAATAGCAACAAGAGTAGGATAGAACTATATTAGGGGTAGGTTTGTAACAGATGCCTATATTAATAAAAAGCATTGAAAGCAAGATGATATGCTATATATACAATCATATAAATAACAAAAAAAGAAGCAGGATAACACTTGTAAATATCCAATGCGACAGAGGAAATTAAAAAATGTTCACTATATAGTTATTCTAATAAATTATGTCCTACTGTACAAAATGAAATCAAGAAATCTTACATGACTAATTATCCTATTGGCCAAAATCAATCAAATGCACTTAATAATAGGATGCAATATAAAACGTGTGGTCATAACATAACATTTTATACACATATAAAAGACGTGAAAGACCATTACTCAGGATGCCTAATCAGTTTAAGAAAAAAACCCAATATTGATAAAAGATAGAATCAAGCCAGGATAGGCGTAGTCCAAAATGGTATTAAAAGTGCTAATTTAGTATTCAAATTAAACACTGAAAATAACACGATGAATATTCAGAAAAAAGTATTAGAAGCTGATGTTTACAAATTGAACACATCCCTAGTACTTACCTCAAAGTATTTTCCTGAAGCACCATTTCATGGAAATCATTGGCTACCATATGCTATGTTGGGGTTACAATAAGATATCCTACCACATCATGTGTAGGTGTTACCATTACGTGTCCAAAGTCTTAAATTTCCTTTGAGCACTAAAAAACAAACACCATATCTCAATATCAATAATGACAATGTGCGCCATTGATGAACTCCAAATTAAATATAACTAAGAATTTTGATTTTTTATACATGGGATTAGCCTGGAAGGAGAAAGCACCAATGCAAAACTGATAAGAGCAACACACTATAGCGACTTCACCAGGAATAACATTGAAAGTTATTAGGGTAGTTGTAAACAACAAACACTAATTACTTTTTTTTCAATATGCTTCGTCAATGAAGCCAACTATTGATGAGAGCTTGCAGGGCACAAATGTATATTACCAAATTCACCACTACTACAAAACACAAAGAGTTTTAAGTGAGCATCTAAAATAAATTCATATCTTAGATACCTTCTATAGGAAAAATGTCATTAAATCACCCAATTAATTAAACTTCGATCCACTGTCGCCAACATCCATGTTTAATAAAGTCAATCTCAATTCAATTTATGATATGAAACACCTAGGTTAGAAATTTGTTAGTTAACCTTAGACTTGTAGACAAACAAGATACAAATAAACAAAAGTGAAAACAGAGTAAACAGAAATCACCAACACAAAGGTGAAATTTATCAAGTTTGATGAACAAGGGGATACCTCTTGATTTGAGAAATTTTATTGCTTAGTTGATGGCGTTGCAGAGTCTGTGACAAAATTTTTCACAAAATCAA